TTGGCACATAGTGGGGGGTGAGGTGAATCAGGTTGTGATCTGACCTTCCAAGTGGGGGGAGGGAGGAGGAGCTGTATGCATCCTTAGCATTAGCATACAGTAGGTCTAAGATTCTCTCCCCCCTGGTGGGACAGTCTACATACTGTTTAAATGCTGGTAATGTATTGTCCATGTAACATGGTTGAAGTCACCCGAGATCAGAATGAAGGCACTTGGGTGCTGAGTGGGTAGTGTCACATGCAGCTCTGGGGTTAGCCGAGGGAGGAACGTAAACAGCCAGCAATCTGACATGAGTAAATTCCCTGGGCAAATGATACGGCCCGAATCCAACAGCACACAGTTCAATATCCGGGCAACAAAACCTTTCTTTTATTGTTATGTATAACAAAAACAGCAAGCCCACCTCCTTTCTTCTTACCACTACTGATGCTGTCCCTGTCTGCCCGAACAGTAAGGAAGCCTTCCAAGGATGTGTTATCGTTGGGAATGTCCTGGTGCATCCATGATTTAGTGAAAGACATAAGACTATACTCCCGGTATTCCCTCTGACTCCGTACAAGCGCTGAGAGCTCATCAATTTTATTTATTAACGATCGCACATTTCCCATACGATAGACGGCAGACACGGTTTATACCTCCTCCTTGCTTTGAGCCTCTGCTGTCTCACTGTCTCCTTCTTTCTTCTCTTCTGTCCTTGACCTCTGCATCCCCGATGTGTTTTTATCCAAATTTCAGCTGGTACGTCTGCAGATCTGGCCAGCGAGTAAACAGTCCATGCAGTATATAGGTGTTGTCCCGTTCCTCGACAAAAGTAGCACTTCTGCGTCCACCAGCAGAACAGAAACTCTCTCAATCCACATGATTGAGGGAAAGATAATAAACAGATAAAAGTACAATTAAGGAAAAAAAGCTAAACTAATGAGAAAAAGCAGGACTAACTGTAACAGGCTACATGCTGGTTGGCGCATGCGCACTATTATACTATAGTATAATAGACCTTATTACTATAATAATGTGGACTCTATTAAATGAAAATAATAAATTACACATCTATGAAACCTGCAGCTACTGTCTTTATTTAAAGTTGTAAGTATTTAAAGTCAATGTTACCAGGCTGTGGAGTTCTCTGTTAGTGTAATGGATTTAAAACTGTTTAAATCTTCAATTTTATCTCAAAGCACAACATGATATTTCTTCCAGTTTATATTTAACTAACTGCAACAATATTTTCAGTCACAATTACGTTATCAAGGGGTGGCAATACATTTTTAACTTTTAGAACAGGAGGAAGACGTTATGCATTGTATCTTTTTAAATACTGATAAAGACACTAATTACAATGTATTTTAATATCCTTGATCCTTGTACTCTTTGAAACCTCTCTCTTGACTATCAGTAAATATCTGAAACCAAGTCAGCATGAAATCAAATTAGGGATGAGGCAATTGGGCTTTTGTTTGTTTGGTTTTTGTTTTTTTTGGTTAAGAAATAAGTTATTTCCTGATTTTGCAAGTATACAAATGTAAGAGTATATAAACACTAGTCTCAGAGCTTTTCATCACCTCTATGGTGGAAGACTGAAGCTACTGGCTCACAGTGAAAAGAAAGAAGACCTTCTACAAAAGGTATGGTATAAACTCTTAAATTATCTTTTCTCCTTTCTTTAAAGATTTGTCAGTACTTATGTCTTCTGTTTTTTCACAGAGACACCATGAAGCTCCTGGTTGTGGCTGCACTTCTTTGTGGATCGATGTTTCTGACCACTGCTTGTGAGTATTGCCGTATAATGAGAAGTATGTAAATATATGTCAGTATGTACGTGTTTAAATAATCAGTCGCCATCTATTGTTTTGCTGTGTTCATTTCTGCCACGTGAAGACGTCAGCGGTGGTGCAGGAGGTTTAATTCCAACTGGTCAGTGGACATTTCCATATTTTCACCAGAGTTAATCACATTTATAAAGAAAAGAAAATCAATTGTGTCATGCATGATATGACTCTCAGTTTAGAATGTAGAGAACACATTTTAAAGAATGAAAGAAAAACAAAAATGCATTTTAAAATTTATATTTATATATCACAGAGTGAGAGAGAGAGAGATTGTGAAATTTAACTTTGACGTAGAAATAGTGTCCAAAGAAAACGAAAATAAAAACAGTCACAAGCCAATTTAAAGACCTTTTAGATACATTAAAGTTGTTCATTGAATATAAATTGTATAACTAAAAAGACCATATTGGTTTCTCACAGCTGTCTAAGTCTGAACACAAGTTAAATACCAAAAGTGTCAGCCTCATATCAGCCTCATATCAGCCCTTCTGGCTATTAAAAAGTTGAAAGTTGAAATCCAAAGCTGACCATACTTTGCCATCATGTCCCCTCAGCTTTAGAATGACTAGAGATAACACTTGCAGAATCAGCTGCTAAAACACATCTGCATTGACTTGTATTTAAGTGATGATCATGTTTTGTTCTGTTCAGTTCTCTTTGTAAATATACTAATAATCATAAAATCAATAACAATTTTTAATGAAACTTTGTGTTTTGAAATTTTACTGCCTATTACTTGAAATGATTAATTTGATGAAAATGATTAATAATCAATAAAAAAAAGATTACAGCTGCATTGATATAATTACAATATATAATTGTGAGGTAGTCAAAGTGCCCTGTATATTGTCGATCACTTAAATATGTAATATTTAATTGTCAAGCTGGTATTTGTATGGTTGGTTTTTTTTTTTCAATATTGTACATGTCATAATAAAAAATCAAACAGTACAATATCAGCTGGAGATACATACATACATACATACATACATACATACATACATACAGCTATTTATCTGTTCCCAGCAAAGAGTTACCGGTTCAACATGTCCTCTGGTTGTCCTTATGGTTGGACTCATTTCAATCAACGCTGCTTTGTCTACATTCCACGATCCATGAGTTGGGCTCATGCTGAGGTAAGTTTCTCTTATTTGTATTGTCTTCAAAACTTGATTAAAACACATCTAGCCTCGTCGTGACTTTAAAAACCTCTCTCTGTCACTCTGCAGAGAAACTGCTTGTCCATGGGTGCACACCTTGCATCTGTGCACAGCAGCAGCGAGTACCATCACATTCTGAAGCTGACTGGTGATCATGGCTACAAAGAAACTTGGATAGGAGGAACTGATGCATCTGAGGTACTTTTTTAAATCATTACGTTATGTTTCTGTTTCTCTTAACCCTTTAAGACCTACCATAGAACCAAGTACGCCAGAGCTTATCTTTATATTTTTACATGCTGTAGTCCCATTTTTGGGAGCATTTCAAGTTGCTATACATCAATACAACCATTGTAGCCAAAATTTTAATAATATGTATGCATTACGTCTATAGTAGCTTCATAAATTAAAAAAAAAATTGCAATAAAGTCCACAAAAAATAAAATACTTTTTGTTTTGTTTTTACACATATTTCATTTTATCTCTCAAAACTGTAAATACAAAATAGTTGCACAAAATAGTTTCCAACCACAGGAAATTTGTTTTGAGTGTCTTTATAGTTTTATTTTTGAGATTAGTTTTTTTATATACTGCAGGGAAATACTAATAATAATGATAAATAAATATTATAATGCAAATTAGCAAAGAAAACAGCATGTGCATCAAACTAAACTATTTCCAGCACTGAAATTTTAGTTCTAAGCATCCCAGAAACTATACAGAAAAGCATAAAGTCAAACATAACTTTTAAAAACACCAGCATGGGTTTTTAAAGGTCGTTAAGGGAAAACCAAACTAAGTTTCCCACGAAATATGACATCACTTCCGGTTTTAGCAGGTAATGGCGGACATGCGACCGTTCGCACCGATGTCTATTCTAACATAGGAAGTGTTACGAACAGCTGATCAGATCAGCAAAGCGTGTTTCTGGAATATTATGTTTTTTTGTTTTTTTTTTACTGCAAGTGCTTTTTATGCAATTTTTGCAAAGCCATGTGGGAAAGGAAACTGTGACCTAGAACAAGCTGAATGCATAAGATTTAAGTACAACTTCTCCGGTTTGCTATGCAAAAAAATAAATAATAAAAATAATAATGTGCTAACTTATGTGGTTGCAGTTCTACCGGTATTTAAAAATAGATACGCAAAACGAAGCATTCCTGCTCCAATAGGTCTCAAAGGGTTAATGATGACAGATTACCATTATCTGAAAATGTAAAATCAATTGACATGAATCAATTAAAAGCAGCTTAAATTATATAATAAATAATATTTGAGATTCACCAGCTGCCTACATTGGTTATGTCAATTAAATAAAGCTGATTTCACAAGACTTTGGCTAGGCATGATCTTTTGGCCTGCCCGAAATGATGCTATCAATTTCTGTCTTCTAGGAAAATGTTTGGCTGTGGAGTGATGGGACCCCTTTCCACTATACACACTGGTGCCCCGGAGAGCCTAATAATACAAACAAGCAGGATTGTCTGCAGATGAATTATGGCGGTAATTCAAAGCACAATATTTAACATGATTGCCTATTTTCTGAATGACTTTTTAAAAAAAATGAATTTACTAGTGCCGTCAGCGTTAGTCTCGTTAAAATGACATTAACGCCATTACCGTGGCTCACGCCGTGCATGGGCTGCATGGCATCAACCTGTCAGTGTGGTTGGTTCATTAACGCTTTGCAGCCGTGTGCAGCCCCTTGCATGGGGCGAGCTGCGTTAACTTGCTAAGGGCGATTTGCCGCGTTAATGATGGTATGGCGTTAACGTCATTTTAACACGAATAACGCTGACAGCAATAGAATTTACTGATTTCTGGTTTTGAAATTTGCAGATTCCAAGTGTTGGGATGATATGCAGTGTCACGAAAATCGGCCATCTGTCTGTGCCAAGAAAATATCAAAACACCAGGGCTGAGACTGAAGCATAAATTTTCCAGTAAAACACAAACCGATGTATAATAGTGTTTGTGTTATGCTTGCTCCTACTTCTTTTCCTAGTTACATTTTTCCTTTCTTGGTACCAATCTAAACATCAAAATGACAAATCAGCAAAAGCTGCATTGTCTTTTAGGCCTTGTGTCTTTAACAAGAGCAGACTGATTGTGTTACCACAGCATTGATCCTACAAAACTGTTGTTTCTTTGTTTTTTCTTGTTTTGCAACATTAAAGCTTTCAGTGAAGCATCTGTCTGTGTTACATCTCTTGTGTCAAGGCATATAAATATTCAGCAGTCATAATATGCATATATTAAAATTAGGGAATTAAATATTTATCTGCACTTGCTGGTGTTAATAATATGTCCTTCTAGTCCAAGACTTTGGACAGTTAGAAAACAATATGTCATCATGGGCATTACAATTTGATCCCCCCCTTTTGTTTTGTTTTTTACTACTGCGTGGCTTCTATTAATAATATTCCAAATAAAATAGCCACTTTTTAGATGTCTCTGTACAGTTGAAGTAAGGGGAGACAAATATGAGTCTCTTATTTCCCCTTACTCCTGTGGGTGGTCTTTATCCTTCAAGCTTGGGTTCTCTACCAGAGGCCTGGGAGCTTCAGAGTATCTTTGCTGTTCCTAGGACTGCGCTCTTCTGGACAGAGATCTCAGATGTTATTCATGGTATCTGCTGGAGCCACTCACCTAGTTTGGGATTTACCGCAACTAGTGCTCTGGTTACCACTGGGACCACTGTTACCTTAAACTTCCAACTTTTATTTCTTAAGATAAAGTGAACCAATTTTTTTGGAAACGATCATGACTGATGCTGCTGGTATTTCATAAACTCTCAGCTTGAACTTTGACAATGCTGCTACCAGTAAATGAACTGGCCCTAGAGAAAACACCTCTTTCACAACCTAAAAAGAGACAACCAAAGGTAAAGACAGAAAACAACAATTGTTGACACACATGACCAAAACACAGGCAGTTCTGATGAAGAATACACTTACCAAAGGATTCTGTGTTAATGTCTGGAATTGTTGTCCATTTTGTAAACTTCCCTTGCCATCCATCCCCAGAAGTTCTCAACTTGATTTAGATCAGGGGAACACGTAGGATGGTCCAAAACAGTGATGTTATCCTCCTGGAAGGAGTCCCTTGTCCTGCGAGCATTGTGTACTGTAGCCTTGTCTTTTTGAAAAACCCAGTTGTTACCACACAGACGAGGGCCCTCAGTCATGAAGGATGCCCTCTGTAACATCTGGACATAGTTAGCAGCTGACACCCTTGCACCTCCTGAAGCTCTATTGTTCCACTGAGGGAAAAAGCTCCCCAGACCATTATGGTGCCCCCTTCACTGTGGCATGTAGAAAACATCTCAGGTGGGATCTGCTTGTAGATCTGCATCTAAAGCATAAAGGTTACTGTTTTGAGGATGCTGATGTTCACATTTTGGACAGAGAAGACAAATGATTTGTTTTTTGCCCCCCAAGCAAAAAAACAAAAAATGAGAGAGAGAGAGAGACATGAAATTAATACGTTTGAGGCTTACGGGTTTTTTTAAGCTGGTGACCCTCTGAACGAGGAAGGCATGCCCAAGAATGCATTGCTAATACAGGATACCACCTCTAAAGTTTTGGAAAAAACTTTAGTTGTCAAGGTAGAAATATAGTATATATAGCATTGTTTCAGATTTCTGCAAAAACATGGCTGCCAATCTATCAGCTACTGACTCACCTCGTCTTTGTAAGTGTATGCCAACAAGCAGTGCGTTAGTAGTAAATGAGAGACATAATTACAGTGTTGCTTTAAAGAATGAAAATTGATGATGGAGTCGAACTCAGTCGAGTCGACCTCTGCTTGCATGAAACAGTTATATAATACACTGCCATTTAAGCGATTATATATTGTCTAGCACACTGTATACAGGAACTTCTGTCATATTATGTACTTTGGTTTGCTTATACTGAAGAAAAGACTGGAGGATTGTTTCGTGTTTCACTCATTTCTAGCTGAAATTACTTTATTTTAAGAAAAATACCCAGAAACATACCCCCTTGTACTGTATTCATATCAGCCGAGTTAATCTATATGAACAGTGCAGGACACCCTAACTGCTCTCTTTTAAAACCGTCTCACAATGTCTGGTTTAGACACCGGTACCACCTACATTTAATTATTCTACAAACACAGGTCTACTATGTTTGCATTTGGAAATAAATATTTGTATTTTCTATGTGTCTTTGTGTGTGAACTTTTTGAATTCTTATGTAACATAATTCTCCACCTTGGTATTATATACCAAGGTGGAGAATTGGTATGTAATACCAAGGTGGAGTAATAATAATTAAGCAACATGTCCCTCAGGTCCGGAGATGCACAGGCCTACAATACAGCCAGGGCTAAGCTAAAGAGGGGTATCAATAAAGCCAAACACCATTTTAAAAAGAAGGAGCCCTTCTCCAACTCCAACCCCCGATGCTTGTGGCAAGGACTCATGACGATTAGATCGATGTTCCATCTAATTTCTCATGTGTCTGAGTGAACACACAAACTCCCTGAGCGGTCCCTTGGACCACTGTGAGCAACAGCAGACATGTGCACTGTGGTCACGCCAGCATTGAATCCATCCAAGTTACATAGTTTATTAAAATAATCAAATTACAGCATTTACATTTATGTTAGACTACTTTTAATTAACTGCTTTAATCCACTTACAATGAAATTTTAAAAACATCTTGTTCATGACCTGTGTAGTATGTTAACAATATTGGAAGTAAAAATAACTTGAACTCCAATTTTGAAAACACAACTTTCTTTTTTTTATATATATAAAGCTCTGACTTGTATTATGAGTATGAATCTGTGGTCTGGGAGAGAGTCCTTTAACTCTGCAAAATACAGTATATAAAGACCAATGTCCGGCAATTGTATAGTTACTTCTTCAAAAAAGTAACTGAGTTATGCAGAAAACAAAGTTTTTTCCAGCTGTTTAACTAAAAATGCAGCCAAGGCATTTTTTTTAAAATAAACATTTCAAACTATTTACAGAACAATCAGCTGTTCTGCATCAAATTTGATGCCACACAAATTATTTGTGCAACTCCAAAAAAATAATTTCTGTCCACTATGAGATAAAGAACAACAGCCTGATACCTGCAGGCCTGACAACAGGAGATGTATCACTCCTGTAACACCTGTAACATTTAGCAGTCGCCTCATTGTTCTGACACACACAACTAAACTATTGACTACACTACACACTAACTACACAGATATGCATTAAATGTCGCAAATCTGGCCTGCTTTAAATCCACCTCCATCGTCCTGATACCCCAAAACTCCAACCCATCTTGCCTCAATGACTACCGCAGTAGCCCTCACCCCCATCATTACAAAGTGCTTTGAGTGGCTGGTCCTAACACACTTCAAATCCTGTCTTCCCCCCACCCTGGACCCCCACCAATTTGCATACTGTCAGAACAGGAGCACAGAGGATGCAGTCTCCATCGCACTGCACTCTGTCCTCTCACACCTGAACAATAACAACACCTACGCCAGAATGCTGTTTATAGACTTCAGTTCAGCGTTCAATACAACCCTCTCAGTTCCCTCGTGTGTAAATGGTTACTGGACTGCCTGATGAACCTGCCCCAACATGTCCGGCTGGACAACTACTGCTCATCCACCATCACCATGAACACCGGTGTACCACAAGGCTGTGTGATGAGCCCTTTCCTCTACTCCCTCTTCACTCACGACTGCAGACCTGCTGATGGTTCCAACACCATCATTAAGTTTGCAGATGACACCAC